AGATGTTAATATGACTCCGGCTGCGGAGGATGCTCATAGTGACTCGGTAGTGTTGGATCCGGAAGAACAGCCTGAGTTGCTCGACACTAGGGCCGAGGTTTGCATCTTGTCACGGAATCATGGATTCAGCAACGGGGCCATCACGGCAACAATCCGGCTGCTTAGGGATCCAGACTTAGACCCTTCGCAGCTAGAGGGGTGGAACTCACACCGGGACCTGGAGCGGTTCGAGGCTTCATTCGAGGTGGGGGAGGAGAACGAGTGGGTTGTCTCCGAGATCCCGGTTGATCACGAGGTCGAGTTCTTGACGTTTCGGCACCGAAATGTGCTCTCGGTGAGGACCCCTGGTGCACGAATAATTCATGCTGTCCTATGCACGTTGCCCTCGTACCGAGCTTTCTTGCACGCCTTTTTGCGACCTTCCCATAAACTCCACAGGTACTTAAGGCGATGTACACACGTCAGTCCGCGATCCAGGGCTTTCAGACAAAACCTGCCCAGTGGAAGGTGGGCAACGTGCGGCGTTACAGCACGGCAATGAACACTGATTTCATGCTGCAGGCCCAGGTACGTGTCACCCACATCCTGGCATACGTTCGAGATCACCCGTCAGTAGCCCATAGGTGATCTACTAGCCCAAATCCCTCATGCATTGAATGCATGCTCTACAGGAACGCATCAAGGACCGTGGAGAGGCGTTGGGAATAATTCTTTTCAGCGATCAAACCAATCTCTCCAACAATGGCCGACAGACAGCCCACCCCGTGATGATGGCATTCGCAAACACGCCGGAGTGGGCAAGGTGGGCGGAGGGGGCACGGAGATGATAGGCAATCTGCCTAACATTCCTGGTGACCTGTTCCCCGAACAGAAGTGTGCCGCCTTCCAAGATGCGCTGGACATTGTGGCAAACCCGCTCATGGAGACATCCCAGCTTGACGGGTGAGATGTCGTGTAGCAATGCAACGACTATGTTGTACCCCCCAGCATCCCCAGTGCGGCTCTCATCCTTGCATGCTACTTTTGCGGTTTCCAGGGGGGGATACAGGTGGTGGATCATGCGGGGGGGAGCACACGGTCTACCCGGTGCTCTATGCCTATGTGACTGATCACCCGGAGGGGTGCAAGGTTTCTTGCACGATGCAGTGCAAGTCCTTCAGGCCCTGCTCCATCTGCCTTGTGGATCGGGACAACCTGAACAAGGTCCAGCCGGACACTATCAACCGCACGGTGAAGGGACAGAAGCTCATCTACAAGAAGATGCAGCGAGCAGTACGAGCCAAGAAGAAGAAGGAGCTGGCCGCTCTTAAGGCCAAGTGGTCCACGCACCAAGTGCCTGTAGGTCGCCCATGCACTGCGTTTCCTAAGCTGCTGTAAGCTCCGTACCCGCATGCCATAACATTCCTGTCTTTGCATTCATGCCCTTGCATTCCTGCCCTTTGACCGAGTCCCATGCATCCCAACCCTTGCATTTCTGTGTAAGCAATCTTGTCTTTGCATTCCTGCATTTGCATTTGTATCTTTGCCTTCCTGTCTTTGCCTTCCTGCCTTTGCATTCCTGCCTTTGCATTCCTGTCTTTGCCTTCCTGCATTTGCATTCCTGCCTTTGCATTCCTGTCTTTGCATTCCCGCCTTTGCATTCATGCCCCTGCATTCCTGTATTTGCATTCCTGTCGTTGCATTCATGCCCATGCATTCCTGCCTTTGCATTCATATCGTGTCTGCTGTGCAGTGTGTGCTTTGGAAGTGGGAGTTCTCAACCACTTCGTGGGGCAACATCTACCTTGCTCTTCCGCCAGACATCATGCACATGATTGAACAGGGCTTCTGGCTCCATGCGATGCGGTGCTTGGCTGCCAAGCTGACGAGGAAGGAGCGGAAGATCTTGCTTGAGTACGTAGTGCCCGGTTGCTCTCTCTTGCCCCAAACACGCTTGGCCATGGAGGCTCTCTTCCACCCAGACCACTCATCCATGCCCACCCGCTTTCTCACACTCATGGCAGGCGTTTCAACGCTCTGAAGGCTGTGACGCCGTCATTCCTGCTCAGGCTCCCAGGGGCGTGGATGTACTTCACTACGACGGCGGGTTTCGCAGCATCAGAGCACCGTGCTATGATGCAGGTGCTCCCGCTGATTCTGTATCTTCCGGGCCGCGACGACATCTACAAGGCGGTCCTGGCGATAACGAGTTGGTACAAGCAGTTCATACGTGCGGAGTACCACACCGACTCCAGCCTCAAGAAGATGGACGAGTCCGCCACAGAGTGAGTCGGCTCACGCACTGGGACATTTGGTTCCACTGTATATCGTCCCCACCCCGTGCACTAGTCATCTGATCCTTCCCTATTACAATGGTCCCCTGCTTTTACATCCCCTGGTCCCTCCTTCCATCCCCCGCTCCATCCTTCCATCCCCTGGTCCCTCCTTCCATCCACCGCTCCCTCCTTCCATCCCCTGGTCATTTATTCAGGCGGGGTCTGCCCATCCCGTTCTGCTCCCTTCCTACTCTTCTACTCTGCCCATCCCGTTCTGCTCCCTTCCTACTCTTCTACTCTGCCCATCCCGTTCTGCTCCCTCCTTAATCTCGTGGTCCTTCATTCAGGTGGGATCTGCCTTCTCCGTTCTGCTCCATTCCTTCACCCCCATGGTCCCCCCTGAAACCCTTTCTCTACTCCTAATTCCCTTGGTACATTGCCCATCCCCCAGACCCGCCGTCCACCACAGGTAACGTATGTAACCAGGGTCTGCCCTACTCGTTCCGGTCCCTCCCTTACATCCTCTGGTCCCGTCGTTCCCCCACTGTTCCTTCTTTCGAATAAGGTATACCCTTAACACTCTAATCCCTACCTTCGCTCCCTTGATCCCTCTATCCTCCCCTGGTCTACAGGTCAATAAGGGTCTGTTCATCCGGTGCGTCCGTTCACTCCCTAATTCCCTACTTCCTCCCTGGTCTTCCACACAACCAGGGTCTGCCCTTCCCGTGCTAGCTCACCATATAACATCCCCTGGTTGGACGGCCAGCCAGGATGATTCCCTCATGAAATTCACTTCAACCCTGGGTGGGAATTTCTCCACTACCTCGTCTCTACCTCTGTCCAGAACCTGGTTCCCTTCCCCCACCCTAAACCCTTTAGAGTTTCTCTTCCTCGCACCCCGTGTCAGTCACCTCTTTTGAAGCGTTTGTGCAACCTTTTCCCCTCTGCACGTCTCACACTATCCATCCGTGCACGCTCCCTAGTAGGATGGTGGCTTTACTAGAGGTGGCATTTGACAACCAGAAGTCGAAGTGGCACATCGTGAAGATACATGGCGTCAGCCACGTCACCTCCTCTATCACGGCACGCGGCGTCCCCCAGGAGTACTCATCGAACTGCTACGAGCACGGACACAAAACAACAGTGAAGAGGCCATCTCGCGGGTCAAACTGGAAGAATGTGGGGGAGCGCATCGTCAAGAAGCACATCCAACACGCTGTGGTGCGTCAGCTAACCCGCGAGGTCGGGGGCGACGCGTCGTACGAGACGGCCATGAAGCAGGTATGGAGCGGTTTGATGGGTGGCCAAAGGGGTGGAGGGATTCGAACTCCATGCGTTTCCAGGTACCCTAGCTGCCCTATTCCCATATTTCTCCAAGTGTATAGACGGACCTACCCCTTAGCCAACCCCGTAACAACCTCGTGCCTAACACGCCACTGCCGCTTCCATCCTCCAAATGCCATACACGGCACAGGCATCCCTGAGGAACCAGCGTGTCCTCACCAAGACCCACAAGAAGATGGAAGCGGGGGACACACGGGATCCTGTCTTCCGCAATTACATGAGGACCGCGGGGGTGCTGGCGATGCACGAACTGGAGGAGCGCCTTCGCCTCGCCAAGATTAAGACGCGGACAATCTTTGTACGTTAACTAGACCCTGAGGCATGGGTTTGGGGATTGGGATGGAACGTGAGGGCGGGGCAGGGAGTGGCAGGGTGACTGGGCACCTTATGGCAGGGAGGAGATGGCCGTGAGTGGGAGGGAGTGGTATGGCTTGGAAGGTCAAGGGACGGAATGGACAGTGATGGGAGGGAATGTATGGGCATGGCATGGAATGGGAGGGTATGGACAGGGACGGGAGGGAATGGATTGGGAAGGCATGGAATGGGAGGGTATGGACAGCGATGGGAGGGAATGGATGGGGATGGCATGGAATGGGAGGGTATGAACAGCGATGGGAGGGAATGGACGGGGATCGCATGGCCTGGGAGGGTATCCCAGGGATGGGAGGGAATGGATGGGGATGGCATGGAATGGGAGACTGCATTGACTACTTGGCTACCTCAGCTCTTAGGGTCCCATTTAATAAATGGGCATGGCATGGAATGGGAGGGTATGGACAGAGATGGGAGGGAATGGGAGGCCATGGACGGGGATGGGAGGAAATAGGAGGGAATGCACGGGGATGGGGGGAATTGGAGGGAACGGGGTAGGAAGGAATCACTGAGAATGGGAGTGGGAGTGGGAGGGAAAGGGCCGCGAACAGCAAGCTCTCGCAGGATTTGGAGAGAGAGTCAGGGAATAGCAAGGAATGAGTCAAGTGGGACGGGGAGGGGGCCTTGGGAGCGGTACCAGTGGGATTGGTGGGGTTTGGCCAGTGAATGGCATGGAATGGCAGCAATTTGGTGGGACCGGGCTCTCTTTTTTCCACACCCTAAACCCTACCGTGGCCCCTCTGTCCACGTCTCCCCTCTATCCCCTCCTGAGCTCAATCCGTCTAATCATACAATATGACTATCATGTGCCATGGTACCATGCCTCCTTGCCAAGCGCTGCCCTCCCATCTACGATAATTCAAGGCACACTCGTGCCCCCTCTCTACACCCACCCGCCTTCCCTGAACTCCCCCATTGCCCCCTACCCTAAACCCAGGTCCACACAGCCATGGCCATCCCCCCCATGACAGCATGGAGTGGACCTCAAAGGGCCAGTTCGTGAAGGCGAGCCCTCACGAGCGCCTCTTCTCTGACGTCTCGATCAGGCCTGGCGGCGGCGTGGGGGAGCCGTGGTATGGTCGTGTCCTGGTGCTTTTCCATTACCAGGATGGGGAGGTGGAGAAGCGCGGGGCGTTCATCCAGTACTACACCGAGGCGCAGAAGCCTTGCCCCATCACCAGGTGCAAGCGCCTGACGCCAACCTTGGGCATCGACAACTATGCCGTTGTGGACGTGGACAGCATCCTGAGCCTTGCACATGTGGTTCCGTGCTGCACGGACCCGAAGTACCGGCTCGTTAACCGGTTTCTTTTCTGAACCACCGGTTGCGCTCTTATTTATGCATGACTTTGTTTAAATTGACCTTGTCTTAGAGGTTGACAATTGAGTGACTCGTACTGAGCATGATACTTTTAGTTTGCAGCGACAACCATTCACAGTGCTCGCAGCAGGTGATGACCCCACTAATAATATAGCAACAAACCCTATCATTTTTATTTCCCACACATGATATATTCCATACATAAACAATTACGTTCGAACATAACAAAAAAAACACAGGAGTGTACTACGATTGGACAGACGCTTATCGCTTTGAAATCATAGGGTTTAGAAATCGTAGCTTTTGCAAAACATACATTTTACATTTACACCCTGCCAAATGCTACGCGAACGTTCTGCGAATGGTATTTGAATGTTCTGCAGATAGTCGGCATCCTCGCTCCACCTCGAATGGTTTTTAGATTGCCACTTTTTTGCGATGTCCCCTGGCAAGCCATTCATCCCCTGGCAGGCCATTCATCCCCTGGCAGGCCATTCAACCCCTGGCAGGCCATTCACCCGCTGGCTGCACCTCATGGGGAGCAACGCAGCCCCTCACTTCCTCTCTCCCCACCTTGCAGCTTGAAGCTCAAACATCCAAAACAGAGCTTCCATGCGGAAAGAGTCACTCTTGGCGGCCAGGGAGCGATCCCGTGCCTTACTGGGGATGCAAGTCGCAGCAGCAGCATCGTCCACTCTCACCCACTCCGCGAGTTCCGCCACTCATTCTGCACCGCCTCGCCGCCCACCGTCCGCTGCTCCGCCTAGACTTGCGCCATCTCAGCCGCCCCTTTCCGCTCGCTCCTTCTTCCCCTTGACCATGGCGCACGCTCTCTCCCGCCGCATGCTTTCCCCCGCGCTGCCTTGGCTCGCTCTAGCGGCGGTGCTGATGCTGGCGGGGACGGCAGGGGTGGCAACTTTGGGGGGGGCAGCGCCAGGTCGGGGGAGGTTTGAGGGCGGAGGGGGGGACTTTGTGCACAGCGAGGGCCCACGGGGAGGGATTGTTGGGGAAGAGGCGGTGGCGGCAGAAGGGAGGGTGGGGGTGAGGCAGCAATGGATGAGACGGATGCTGAGAGCGGGTGAAGGGGAGCGAGGGGAGAGAAACGAGCAGCAGGGCTCTAGTGATGGCATGGATCTCCATAGCACTGCTGCTGCTGCCCCTCCTGCTGCTGCTGCTTTTGTCGACCCTTCTGCTGCTGCCCTTGCTGCTGCTGCTGCCCTTGCTGCTGCTGCTGCAGATGAGGCAGCAGTTGCTGCTGACGGTGGCAGTGGCAGCGGCAGTGTGTGGGAGGGCTGAGCAGTATGCAGCTGGCCAACGCCTCCGGGTCCTCTCGTCCCTTCCATCGGGTTCTCGCCTCGGGTGCCGCGGCAGTTGTGGCAGCACCATTACAACCACCAACACTGCCCGCAGGTAAGCCTGCAAAAACGAATGCGGTATCGAATACTTGTGTGTTTTCGTATTTGATCGAATACCACTTCGTATTCGAATACGAATACGGTTCGAATATTCGGTTTAGAGACGAATACGGAATTGAATACGAATAGGTGGTCAGAACAGGGTTTCGGGTGTCTTCTGGGGCTTCCCACTGAAGACCGAGATAGAAATAGCCCCTCTAACCTTGATACTCTATCACCCCCATCCCCAATCACTTCCACTCCTCCTGGCATATCGTCGAAGTAGCTGTGATTATGGTAGGTTATTTATCCAACAACATGTCACGCTCAAGAATCCTGTTTTCGTTTTTGTCCACGATTGATTGGTTTTACGGAGGCCGCAATCAGCCAATTGCGCAACCATCAGATTTCACCGATTTCGCTTATACTGCGCTGCCGATCTTGAGAGGAAAGGGGAGTCGGGGAGATGTATGGTAGGCTCACAAGAATACGAATATTTTCCCGGATATCGAATATTTGAGCGTCGAATATTCGGAACTTGGGAATATTTGAGAGTCTAATACTGCCGAATAGCTTCAGGATGTCAGATTCGTTTTGCATTTGATATTTTTCGAGTACCGAATACGAATCCGAAACCAGTGATATTTGTTTGCAGGCTTACCCGCAGCCGCAGGTGGGCCGGCAGAAGCTTCAAGCCAATAGCCTCCCACACTCCCTAGCCCCTCTCCCTGCTACCATTTTCCCTTTCCCCATCCCCCTTGCCTTCTCTTCCGCGCTTCTGCTCTTCTGTCCTTTCTGTGCCCTCTTCCCACTTGCTCTGTTCCTTGTGCCATATCTGCATACCCCGATCTTTCCCTATCTACTATTCCCCCTTGCCGTGCCCCCATCTCCCCCTATCCACCCGACTGCTTTGCAGAGTGCAGGGATGGCAGCGCCGAGAAAGCAGTGGTGGTGACGTTCTTCCGCTATGACCAAGTTGCCTTCCCCAGCAACCGTCTCGTGCAACCCAAACACCCTTATGAGGTCTTCCTCCTCCCTCCGCCCTTCGCCCTTCTCGCATTTTAAAGCCCCCATCTGATAATTACTAGAGTTTTACACTTGGTCGAGACAGACAGGCTCTGATTGGTACGCGAGGTGTAAACAAATGGACGAAAACGAAAGGCATGTGGCGAGGCCCTATTGTTTCGACAAAATTTTCCAAACCAAGAAACAGGTGTGGAAAAGGCTGGCTCGCATCAGGTTTAGCACATCAGGTGGTGCAAACTCCAACTGTTTTGCACAACAACTTTTCGCTCCGTTTACAAACGCCTGGTCACTGAACCGACATACCAAAAGCTCATGCTGATCTAACGGTCCAGCATCACTGTTCCGTGAACTTGCGGATTCTCATATTGCAGAACTGGTTTTACAGTTGGTCTCCCCACTCTCAGCACATCACACTGTCCGAGGCATTTCCAAGCCTGCCACTTCACATTCGCCAGAGTAACTGGGTATCAAACATTTTACTCTTGGTCACTTCCTTGAATTATGAGAATGGGGCTTTAACCACCATCTCCGACTTGGTTCGTAGTCCTTATGAGAATGGGGCTTTAACCACCATCTCCTTATATGCGTTTCTTCACTAGCTCGATGGCGTAGCTGGAGCCCCACTTTGCTTTTGGCTATTGCGCCACTGCAGCCCCATCCTTGCTTTTGGCTGTTGCGCCCACTGCAGCCCATCCTTGCTTTGGCTATTGCGCCACTGCAGCCCATCCTTGCTTTTGGCTGTTGCGCCACTGCAGCCCATCCTTGCTTTTGGCTATTGGGCCACTGCAGCCCATCCTTGCTTTTGGCTATTTTGCCACTGCAGCCCATCCTTGCTTTTGGCTATTGCACCAGTGTAGACCATCCTTGCTTTTGGCTATTGCGCCACTGCAGCCCATCCTTGCTTTTGGCTATTGCGCCACTGCAGCCCATCCTTGCTTTTCTATATAGAGCTCTCGCCACCCCTGCTCTCCCTTCTAATCTTATATCTCCTTTAACCTCCCATCCAATTGCCTCATTTCTTCCTCATCTTCTGCTTTCCACCCCCTTTCCTCCCCACGTCCCTTTCCTCGCCACATCCCTTCCTCCTCTCCCATCCGCCCCTCCCAACCCGTTGCCCTCCTCCCTCCTCCCCACTTCCCACGCCTTCTCAGGTCATTCTGACCAACACGTGTCAGCAGCGGGCCATCTCTCGCCTGAGCATCAACATCAACAGTGACATATTTCGCTCCTACGTCCTCATTCCCTGCTTGCGCTTCATTGGATATGGCATAGATAAACACAACCTGCTGTTCATGGTAACAGCCCTCCATGCCGTGCCTCGCTCATCGGCATTGTGTGAGCATGTGAGATCTTGGAGTTCGGAGCTTTATCTTCCTCCGTGGCAGGTCATCCTGCTTGCTCCTTCCTCTGCTTGCTCCTTCCTCTGAGTGGTACTTCTCCTGCTGGTTCCCTCCTGCTGCTCTCTCCGCTCCCCCTTTTGATCTTCCTCTCCTCTCTTGACATTTCTCCCTCTCTCCCTCCCTCCCTCCCTCCCCTCCCTCCCTCCCTCCCTCCCTCCCTCCCCTCCCTCCCTCCCTCCTCCCTCCCTCCCTCCCTCCCTCCCTCCCTCTCTCCCTCCTCCCTCCCTCCCCTCCCTCCCCCCCTCCCTCCCCCCCTCCCTCCCCCCCTCTCCCCCCCCTTCTCTCTCTCTCCCTCTCCTCTCTCTCTCTCTCTCTCTCTCCTCTCCTCCTCTCCTCCCCCCCCCCCCCCCCCCCCCCCCCCCCCCCCCCCCCCCCCCCCCCCCCCCCCCCCCCCCCCCCCCCCCCCCCCCCCTCTCTCTCTCTCTCTCTCTCTCTCTCTCTCTCTCTCTCTCTCTCTCTCTCTCTCTCTCTCTCTCTCTCTCTCTTCTCTCTCTTCTCTCTCTCACTGCCCTCCTCATGCTTCACCCTTCCCAACTCCAGCTAATCATCGTCCATTCTGTCTATCAACTCCACCATTTCTATTCCCCCTCGCAGGTACTCCCTCCCTGGGTGCACCCGACAACTCGGTGATAATCCCCCCGGGTGCCACTCTCAAGTTCAACACCACTGTATCGCTCGACTGGTGGTACAACATCACTGTTATTGCTGCCGACTTCTCTCGTTAAGTCCCTGTACTCTAAGTCTACCATTGCAGATGGCTGGCGCTTTCCGACAATTGTTGTTGTCAGTCAACCGCATCTGACACTTGGGTTGGAGGACTGGCATTGTCTAGTCTTGCGTGGAGTCAGAACGGCTTGCTACCATATTCTCGTCAAGATTTTCCGCAGAAAAAAGTGGCAAGGTCTGGCACGAAAACCCTGTGGTAGGAATGAGAAGCCTATCGTCCAAATCCCTGCAAAAGGAACGAACGAATGGCAGGGTTTGTTAGAGTAGCGGGAAGAAGTGTGACTAGGAAGAGGGGAAGGGAACAGAGCTTATCTTTGACTTTTCAGAACTCTGATCTTCACCAGTACCTCTAGCCAACTCTGAAATCCAGGGTGCCCTGGACCTGGAACTCTGATTTGCCAGGGTTTTGTGCCTTGTCAGAAAAAAAAACCCTGTCCGCCTAGAATTTGGAAGAGATCTAAAATTTGTCCAGCACATAGTACTAAGTCACACATCCATATGGCATGGCAACAGAGCAGCATCTCATCAATCATCGTCATCATCATCATCCTCATCTGAACCCTCACTAGCCGCAATCTCCTTATCCGAATCCTCAGCTGCACTCTTGCCCTTGTCGAGGGGAGCCTCATAGGCCATAGTCTTAGCCTACTTTCGCGTCTTCTGCTTCCTCCAGATGTCAATGATCTCGGCGTAGTCCATGTCGTAGTCCAGCATGTTGATCGTCATGAGTTCACTCAGCCTCGCATCGCACAAGCTCGTCCGCAGCCACGACTTGATCACGTTCTGTCTGCTGAGTCCTCTTTCACACTCCACTGTGCTCAGTGGAACAGCCATGGCCTGCCACAATGCCATTAGGTTGGGGTAGCTCTTGGGCCAGTCGCGGGTCTTGAGCATGGCAGCCAGCCCCTGGTTGAAGTCATCATCCGCCCGGTGGTTCTTCATGATGTGAGCGAAGCATTTGAGCTCCAGCTCGGCCGCCCTTTGGTTCACTCCTGGAATTGGGGTTTGGAATAGAAGCAGAGGACAACGGTTTAGTATCCATCATAGGGCAAGGCAAACTGGCTTACCTGGTAGCTTGTGGTCAAAGAGGGCGACACTGGATGCGACCCAGGAGAGATGTCGCCGCTCGCGCACTTCTCCCTTCTTCGGCCAGCACTCAACTTTGAACAGTCCCGCGCTGCCCATCCGCTTCAGATCCCACAACCTCTGCACCACATTCGCCACCATGTCTTTGGCGAACGCGGAGCAGAGGTCCTCACAGTCCAACATGCTGCCGCCGAACTTGTGGCCGGGTAGCTCCTCCTCCGAGAGTTTGAATGCGTGCATGCAGGGACTTCGTCGTTTTCCACGCCATCGACGGTGATGCTGTGCTTGCCGCTGGCGTGCCGCTGCAGGAACTTGGTCAGCCTCTTGCTCAGGCCCGCCCCGAATGTCGCACCGTACTCGATGTAATGGTGCCGGATGTAGGTGACCGTGCGGTCAACCTCCTGGGACATCAGGGTGGTGTCCACCTGATGGAAAGGGCATAGGGCACGCGGATGTACAAAATGAAAGGAATTACAGTAAACTCACGCACATGACTGCCAAGTTAAACACATAGCAAGACCGTGCAATCATGCAACGAGATACGCCAAATGAAAGTACGTCTCGTTAAAGCCACCACTTACAGAGCGCCTCTGAAAGAACCTGTTGAGGGTGTTCATCTCGGCGAGGACGTCAGCGAGGAAGTTCAGGCAGTAATGAAATTTCAGCGTCTTCACGACTGGTGCCTGCTTGTGGTTGTACTCGATGAGGACAACGATTGCCGCTCCGAGAATGCTGCAGAGCTTCTTGGGTTCAAGGAACGAGTTCATCTGCAAGGAAGATGCGCCCATCACATGTTCACCCACCTCTTGGGCTTCATGGCGCATGAAGGGGTGAAGGACGTTCCTAAGCAGAGCTACGAACTGTGTGGTGCATGCGTGAGTAGCATAATTGCTACTCACAGCCTAGTGTGCTGTTGATGTGCTGGCTGCTACCAAGCCAGGAAATGCATAAGTGCCCAATGGGCACGCAGCAATCATCCAGCGGTGGCAACTTCAGCTGCCGCACGCGGTTGTGCTGCTGATGCCACGCGAGGCATTTTCTCGTGGACCTCCATGAGACTACACCAGCACCAAGACTAAAACAGTAGCCCTGAGACAACCTGAGCATCTCCACGTCGTCAGCCCACGACGCGTCTGTGTGTCTAGTGAGCACCACTGGCTCCCGTCCTCCTAGCACAAGCCCCAGTCCTGATGTACTCGCCATATACCGCAGTACCCTCTTGGCAGCTGACAAGTGGACTGGTTGGTGCCTGCCTGTCGCAACAAAGCAAGCCAAGAGATTGAGAGGGTACGCTAGGTCTGGTCGAGTGCAAGTCATCAGGTACATAAGACACCCCACCAGCTGTGCGTATGGACCACTAGCCTCAACCGGCTCAGCCGGAAGTGGAACAGAGAGTGTGATCGTGCGAGCAACACGGTCACGAGAGATCTCCAAGCCCAGATAGCCCCTCAGCTCCCCTAAATCTGTACAGGTGTTTCTCCTAAGTAACTCAGCCTTCACTGAGGCCAGTGCCACTCTGTCAAGAGTAGCAAAGATAAGATTGTCTACGTACACTAGAATGTAGAATGGTGTCTGACTCGTGCGAACAAAGGACGAGCAGAGGACGGAAAGAACTGCAGCTCAGCAAGAGTGGTGCAAAGCCTGTCGTGCCACTCACGGGTGCCTGACAAAGGCCGCAGACAAGACAGCGCAGGCTCCACTCGATCCCAGGTGGGAAGGACCCAGAGAATCCTAGAGGGCGCCGGAGGTAGATCTGCTCGTGCAGACTACCCTGCAGGAACGCTGTGGAGAAGTCGAGTGCGTGAAGCTCGTAGTCATGCTGTGCGGCTATATGAAGAAGGACCCGAAGAGTAATCATCTTCGGGGTCGGGGAGAAGGTCAGGAAGAAGTCCACACCCTCACGCTGAATGAAGCCTCTAGCCACATAACGTGCCTTGGAATTCAGCAGCTCTCCAGGTGCGCGTTTCACCCTGTAGATCTACATGCCATTGACTACGTTCGCCCCAGGCGGGGGGACTGTGTCGACGTAAGTGCCTGTGGATCTGTAGGATGCCATCTTAGCCTCCATGGCCTGTATCCACTGGGCTGCCCAGGGCCCCGACACCGCCTCAGCGTAAGAGTGCAGAACAGGGATGTCGAGAGCGTCTGGGTCACCCTCTGGGGATACAAGCATGGAGCAGAGACAACGGCAGCAAGGTAGGCCAACTTGTACTGTCTGTCCTCTAGCACGTCACTGCCAAGGGCAGGTAAACCCCCGACGGATGGAGGATGGGCAGTACCAGCGACAAGAGCGGCATCGTAGTCAAGGCGGTGGCTAGCAGCAAAGTTAGCAACAGTAGCGACAAGTGCAGAGATGGCCTCAGGAGGAGCACTAGGGTCAGTGACAAGCGACGCAAGCAAGCATGAGAGGGTAAGACGAGCAGTCTGAGCGGCGTCAGAGAGAGGAGGGGGGACTGCGGGAGAGACGCCGGAGGAGGTAACGGAAGCACGGGGACTAAAGAAGCATGAGAACAGACCATAGAGTGGACACTACGACGGGGAGAAACAGGACGAGCACCAGAGGGGTGACGGACCCATTAGGAAAGAACTTGGGACTTGGGACGAGGGGGAACGGGGGACAAGCCAGGGGACGGAGGGGAGCGCGGGGGAAAACGAGCCAGAGAGGAGTCCAGAGGAGGGAACAACGGTCCATAAACAGGGTCACGCACTGGAGGGGAATGGGTGGGCGGACAGGGGAACCTGGAGAAAGACCAAGGAGACAAAGGGCAGACTACGGCTACTGCTGCTGCGGTGGCTGCGTCTGCTTAGGCAGCTACGTCTACTGAGGCGGCTGCGTCTGCTAAGGCGGCTGCTGCTGTTGCGACTGCTGGTGGTGCTGCGACTGCTGCTGTGGCTACAGCTGCCCCCTGTCCTCACAGGGATCTCCAGCGGCACCTCCGCTACCACCGGCACTCCCTAAAATAGCACCTCCAGGAATAGCACCCTTGGACTCACTACCCATAGAACCAGCACCCCCAGAGTTAGCACTCCCAAAACTCGCACCCCTAGAACCAACACCCCCAATGCCAACACTTCAACACCAGCACCCCTAAGAACCAGCACCCCCAGAGCCCACTGCACCTTGCTACTGCTGTTGCGGCCGCTGAGGTTGCTGTGGCAACTGCTGCCGCTGCTTAGGCAAAGGGGCAGGCGGCTGAGGTGACTGGGGTATCGAGGCTGGGGAGGCGCCACAGGGACAGCAGGCACGCCCCCAGGAGCATGGCCCCCAGATTAAGCCGAGTCCCCTACAGGCCAAACTAAGGGGATCTAAAAGGCGTGGGAGACACCAGACTGGGCCGGGCGAGGTGGGAAGGGTGCGGCAGGCGGGACAGGGACGAGAAAGTTAGGAAGAGGAGACACACGAGTGCTGCGGTGTGGGAAGCGGTGGTAGTAGGGGAGCGTCTCGTCAAAGGTAACATCACGAGAGTGGTGAAAGTGGTGGTGTGATAGATGGTAGAACAACCAGTCAGAGGCATCAAGCGGAAACCCCAGGAAGACACAAGGAAGGGTGCGAGCTGAAAGTTTGTCCGCGCCAGTGTCGAGGGCATGAGCAAGGCTGTCCCAGACGTGGAACGCAGACGCGTCACCAGGAGACGCGGTCCAGAGGAGGGTCGGCGAATCCTATGGCCGCTAGGAGTATCGCCAGAGGTTAAGCTGGTGAGCATCGTAGCGCACATGACCACATAAAATGGGGTGCACTTGTGTAAACCATGGAGGAGGGAGCCAACTCCATGATCAGGCTGATGCGTCGCTCAGCGACCCAATTCTACTGTGGGGAGTCCGACTGTTTGTACGTCTGGCAGATGCCCTCCCCACGACATAACCGTCCTAGAGTGCCAGAGGCAAACTCGCCACCTCGGTCAGAGTGTAGCGACCTACTGGCAGGCACTGGTGGGTGCGAACAGTGAGAAGCCACAGGAGGAGAACGGTAGGCACGTTGGCCTTTTGCTCCAATGGGAACACTGTGGTGAAGCGCAAGAAGTCGTCAACGACGACTAGAAAGTAGCGCTCTGACTTAGACCATGGACCGGGACAGGGCAGCGGCAGCTGGCAGCTGGCAGCTGCAGCAGCAGAGGCAGCGGCGGCAGTGGCGACAGCGGCAGTGGCTGCAGTAGCTGTGGCAGTGGCAGTGGCGGCAGCAGAAGCTGTGGTAGCGGCGGCTGCAGCAGTGGCAGTGGCGGCAGCAGCTGCGGCAGTGGCAGCGGCAGCAGCGCAACCGGCAGCAGTGCAAGCGGCAGCAGCGGCTGCGGCAATGGCAGTGGCTGCAGTGATTGCGGCTGTGGCTGCAGTGGTTGCGGCAGTGGCAGTGGCTGCAGCGGCAG